CCGCCCGCGAAACCCGGGCCCGAGGCCCGGAGCCCAGCCGAGGGTCAGCGCGGGTCCTCGGGCCCCAGCCCCGGCGCGCCGGGCTACCGCTGCCCCGAGCCGCAGTGCGCGCTGGCCTTCGCCAAGAAGCACCAGCTCAAGGTGCACCTGCTAACGCACGGCGGCCTCCAGGCCCGGCGGCCCTTCAAGTGCCCGCTGGAGGGCTGCGGCTGGGCCTTCACCACGTCCTACAAGCTCAAGCGGCACCTGCAGTCTCATGACAAGCTGCGGCCCTTCAGCTGCCCGGTGGGCGCCTGCGGCAAAAAGTTCACCACGGTCTACAACCTGAAAGCGCACATGAAGGGCCACGAGCAAGAGAGCTTGTTCAAGTGCGAGGTGTGCGCCGAGCGCTTCCCCACGCAAGCCAAACTCAGTTCCCACCAGCGAAGCCACTTCGAGCCCGAGCGCCCCTACAAGTGTGATTTTCCGGGTAACCGGGGTTTTGGGGGTGGGCAGGGTCAGTTCCCGAGGGTGCTGGACAGCCACTGTGTCAAGTCTACCGCGCTTCCGCCCTAGTCTGTTTGCGGTGTTTTAGCGTGGGTTACCTGATCTAAGAAAGGGCGTGATCTCAGGAAAGAAGCACTCCCGTGTTTATGTTCTAGTTCCTTCCAGGTGACTAGATTTTGAAGTTTGGAATCATAGCTGCGCGTGGGGTAGGCAACAGATCTCTCTTAAGATGTTTCCATTGAGTTAATGAAGGTGCCAACGTGTCTGCATAGAAGAATTGGGTTAGGAATCAGGTGTTTATTTTCCTTAGCCTTATGGTTTAGAAATATTCTGTCATCATATATGGGTGGGTTATAATACTCCATACTAAGGAACAAAGATGAATATGACTAGATACGTGTTACATGCACTGAGAGAATAGCCCACACATGTATGGCACAACCATTATTGTGTCTTTTATACTTTTTATGTGTTGCACTTCCCAATTTCGTGAAGATTTTAAAAATCCTATTAATTTTGTGAAATTTAAAAATTGCTGAGACCGAGCAATGTGGATAAAATCCACTGCTGGTTCTTCCTCCACTGTGTTTACCTGCACTGGTCAGGAAGGTAACACTGCAGCACAATGAACTTTTCCGTGGGTTAGGCAGGTTAGCTCCTCCAAGAAGGACACACTCATTTCTGAAAAGCAGGAGAACATTCCTGGCCTGGAAGGCTGGAGAATAGCATAGGAGCTGTCTTGGGGATTGAGGTGAAATACAGAGTGGTGTGGGTTGTGGGGCGGTTATGGGAAGGCTTTCCCTATCCCTTTTGTTAAGATGTACTTCAGAGGGCTCAGTATGTAACGCAGTAGAAGAATGATTGCCTAGCATGCACAGAAATTCCATCCCTACTATAGCAAAAACAACTCCACACACATGAACATACTTGAGCAAGCTCCTAGTGTACTTCTTGCATGCATATTACCATATACATGCTTTCTTAATAATTATATATACTTCAATGTAATCTGTGCTTTATAAAGTATACTCAAATGTAGGGATTTTGAGTTGTGTGAAGAATATTAACAGGTTCTAATATTTTTCTCACATGCCGTTGAGTGATTTTGTGCATTCCTCTTTGTGGAAACCATGGCTTTAAACTATTGATTCAGCCATTTTCAGCTGTCTACTTTTTAGCTACCTGCTTGTGAAAATCTTGGATGTTTATAGACTTTTTGGTAAAAAGGGTGTGTTGTATGTATAATACTTGAAAGATGTGTCTATGGTTTGCTTCAAGGCATGAGGGCCGTCTGAAGGTTTTGTATTAGTTGATCACTGTGTCAGGAGAGGGACTAATGAAGCACAATTCAGTGGTCCAGGCACAAGTTTCTTCAGGGCCTGAGCCGAGGAGTGGCTATGGGGATGGTGGTGGTAGTGGTTGTTGGTGGTAGGTGGTTTAGGTAGGAGGGATTGGAGAAATAGGATCAAAGGGTAGGTCTTCTTGATAAGGTAGAGTATATGTTCAGTTTTACCTGACAAATTGTTTGAACACACCGAAGCCCAAAATAAGGAAGGCAGGGGAACTAGATTGAAGCCCAAATGACTTTAGGGTGTTGGGGAAGATTTAGGATTAAGGAAGTGCTTAGGGAAAGTAGGGTTCCTTGGACTTCTACTTTTAAGCAGTTCATAACTCTGTGGTTATTTACAGTCACATTGATAGTTTCAACAAAGACACCTGTTAAACATCTTTGCTTTTGTAGCTTCCACCCTGTTGGAACAGTGAACTTTTTTCTCAAAGGAATGTTGGCAAAGTGTAAGCTTCTGGGCTGGTGGTATATACGTAGCTAGGGGCTAAGGATGGAGGTGGAGGAAAAAGCCAGGTAAATGAAGATTACAAGGAAGAACACTGAGGAAATGAGCAAAAGATAAAGATAAGCTAGGTAACAAGATGTGGGGCTGCCAGTTGCCAAGGAGAAAATTCATGGCGTATAGAGGATGTAGCAATATCCCAAAGGGGTGAGAAATATCATCAAGGTGGTTTATAACCCTTCAAAGCTCAACTTCACCAGACAAAATCTTGTTCATTAGTTATTAATTTCTCTTGTTATGTCTCAGATAAGCAATATTGATATTTGAAGTAGAAGGTACATCTAATGCATGCAAGATCAGTACTGGCAAGCAGTTAGCTCTCTTTTTCTTTCTTTTTTTTTTTTTTTTGCTCCCAGTGCCTTCAGGGCAGGTTTGGCTGACTTGAGATGTGAGGATTGAACCACAGCAACCAGAGCCTAACTGCTTTGTTGAAGCAGCCACTTAAAGAACTGAGCTAAGGGCAGGCCCCCTTTTTTCTTAATCAGTTGTTCCATCTCCAAGTTGCATTGCAACAGGTAGCCTGCATGTGTCTATGGGCAACCATCAGCCACTCTGTTGTAGTTACTATAAAGGCAAACATTCATGTTAAAGACTTTTTAGATGGGGCTTTTTAATCACTTTTTTCCATGTTTGCTTCAAGGTGAACCGTGTCCTGGGTTGTGACTAACAATAACTGTATGATTATTTTTTTTCTGTGCTGTGAGCAGAGTTTGTGTTTTCTTTGTTCAGGCTGTGAGAAGACATTCATCACAGTGAGTGCCCTGTTTTCCCATAACCGAGCTCACTTCAGGGAACAAGAGCTCTTTTCTTGCTCATTTCCTGGATGCAGCAAACAGTATGATAAAGCCTGTCGATTGAAAATTCACCTAAGAAGTCATACAGGTAATAGGCTAGAGAACGCATCCTCATTTGGACCCAGAACTTACCTCTGTGGTAGCTGTTGTGTTTCTAATTATGCCATGGAACTTTTCTTTTACAAGGTGAAAGACCATTTATTTGTGACTCAGATAGCTGTGGATGGACCTTCACCAGCATGTCCAAACTTCTAAGGCATAAAAGGTAATATTTACATTTTGTTATATATTACCAGTTTTGAAAATGGTTTGTCAGTAGGAGAAACCTATGGATAGAAATATATAATGTTTTTTAAAATGTATTTAAAAAGAGCTCAATATAATTATTGGAAAAATCTGAATACTATGAAGAGAAAATTACTCAAAATCTATTTTTTAATAATTAATTTGAAAAAATAATTAATTTGTGTAGTTCCTATACAGTAATTTATTTGGCATTATTCCTGTTAATTTTTTTTTAAATATTATAGAATTAAGTTTTTCTAATGTCATTGGAAACTTTGTGGTGATAATGGACAGTCTTAGGGTCCCATGTCCAAGTGATGCACTTTGTATATGTATCTTATTCCATTTTCCTAACAGCAATAACACTGATAGTTTTTTCTCTGTTGTACAGTGAGACTCAGTGTGGGTGGTTTATTTATACTTGCATAGTGGCAGTCTGAAGAGTTTACTATAAAAGTATTATTTAGAAAGTCACAGGCTTTACAAGTCAACCTAACAGGATCCTTTTAGCATTAGAGTCAGTGCTCTGCGTATACTTCACATGGCTGGCTGTGCCCTAATAGGATTGTTTATCATGGGGATTTCTAAACAACTTCATCAATATGTTTGAGACTTACCTAGACAGAAATAACACTCACTGTTTTGTGTCTTAACTAGCGCTGGCTTATTCATTAAGGTAGAATTTCTAATCATGGAGTATCTAAATTGCAAACTTGATGTGGACTGAGGGCAGAATAAAAATTTTCTGAAATGTACTGATCATTATTATTATTTTTAAAATTTTATTGTAATGTATTTAAGGGCTGGGGAGATAGCTCAATAGAATAAGTGCTTGCCTGGCAAGTGTAAGGTCCTGAGTTCAATCCCCAGTAGCACAAAAAAATTAAAAAAAAAAAAGTAATGTACTTAGTACAGGGTCTCACTACACAGATCAGACTTGTAGTGATCCGCCTGTTTTCAGCCTCCCAAGTGCTGGGATTATAGATGTGTACCACCACGCCCAGTCTGAGTTGCTGGCTCAACACTCCCTGGATGCAGGGCTGGCACAGCATGCTGAGATCCAGCTCCAGTGGCTGCACCTGTGTAAGCGCTCACTTTAATCCACTGAGTTTTCTGGCCAACCAGCAGCTTTTAAGTAGTAGGAACTTGTGGTATATTTTTCAGAATGTGAAAGGATCACCCCTGAGGCCTTATAAATTGTGTGAGAAAATCACCTCCCTTGATTTTCTCCTCTGACAGGAAACATGATGATGACCGGAGGTTCATCTGCCCTGTGGAAGGCTGTGGCAAATCATTCACTAGAGCAGAGCACCTGAAAGGTCACAGCATAACCCACCTAGGCACAAAGCCATTTGAATGTCCTGTGGAAGGTAGAGTTTAAAATGTTGCTTTGAGCTGTTAACTACATACCACCCCAGTATTTGTGGTATAAGTTTAAGTTGTTTTAAGGTAAGTTTTAGTTGCTTAAAGACAAGGTAAGTAAAAGTTGCACTGCACTGGTATGTTCATTTGGCTTGTTGAATGAGTTGAACATACTAGAAAGAATACAAACCAAAATTATTGCCAGTTTGCCTCTGGCCCCACTATGTATTGTATTTGTGGCTCTGGTGTTTATGAGGATTTAGTGAAATAATGTGAAAAAAAATTTTTCTATGCCTCTGGCATATATGGCTCGGAATTACTAAATGGTAGGTTGCTGTTGGACAGAAGTAAAAGTAGGCTGACTTTTTTAAAAGGTGGTTAGTAACTTTTTTCCTTTAAAATGCTGAAGTCATAGATCATTTGCCAAAAATCTGTGGGATCCTGTCTGCAAGCCTTACTGTAGTGCTGCAGATGTACTAGGGGTCTGTGGGCCAGGACAAGTCAGATTGTCCTGTAAGTCACTGGCCAGGGCTGCTTCTCTGGGCCTTGGTTTCCTTAACTGGAGAAGGGGATAATATAACTCATTTAAAGCTGAGGCCAGTTTTTAAACGTAATGAACACAATGTAAGTAGTATAACCAAGCCATAATTCTTGCATCAGCATTCAGCTGGGAGTATATGGGTGAATAAACAACATGCAGGCTATTAAGGAAACACAAAAGGTTCCTCCATACTTCCTTTGGGTGCTTGAGGCTGAAAGACAAATATGTAAGAAATCTTTAAAAAATCTTTAAGAGGTGTAAGAGCTGCAAGTGAATACATAAAGTGATGGGATCATGTTCAGTTTGTGCATCAATCTAACTTTATGACTTAAAAACAGGTAGGCCTAAAGAGGTACCATGGGAATTGTTTTTTGTCATTGGTTCCTTGGATTCCTCAGATGTAACTAATTCCTTTCTATTCCAGGATGCTGTGCTAGATTCTCTGCTCGCAGTAGTCTGTACATTCACTCGAAGAAGCATCTTCAGGATGTGGGTGCTCCTAAAAGCCGCTGCCCAGTGTCCAACTGCAATAGACTCTTCACTTCCAAACACAGCATGAAGGCTCATGTGGTACGACAGCACAGGCAGCGCCAAGGTCTGCATTTTATATCCCTCAGCTGCAAGTATATGTGAACCTGGTGCTCATGATAAAACAAATAATGCTGTTCTTTTTCACTTCCTTTCTGAGTTGTCTGGACTATGAAGTCAAAGCCCATAGGTTTTGGCCAGAGATTAGTGGCCTCTTTTGCACTCTTTTCTTGCCATGTCACTACCTCCTATCTTTGCCTGGTCTATAAAGTGCTACCCTTGAGACTGTTCATTCTTTCATTCGATTGGTTTTCCCTTGTCATATGTCCCTTAAATCCTTAGCATATATCTCCTGCTAAGACTTTTCTCTTAAATACTGAACCTACCCTCTTATTATCTCCATCTCTCATTTTTTTTCCCCAGCTCACTTTTATTTCTGCAGAGCACTGAAGCCTATCTCCTTGCTGTAAAGTGTATTTGCAATGTGGAAAATTGTTTCCTTTGGAAGGCAAGAAGTCATCCAAGACCTGAGCAGAGTTTGTTTCAGGAATGGAGAGGGAGTGAATGCTAGAGAGGGAAGATTAGAGAGGCACCATGAGAAAGGTCCAGAGGCACTGAACAGGAAGGATTCTGAGTATACCAGTACCTGTCGTTTGGTACTTTATGGAAAGCCTGCCTATCTTGGCCTTATCAATAGTCATATGGGCAGAATGTTGAGCGTGTCTCAGCAGGAGCAGTGGCTGCCTTTCTTTTAGAGCATTCTCATAGACCTTGCCCTCTGGGACATGGTGGGGTTGTTGCTTGGGCTAAGGCCTGGCTGTGGAAGTCCTAACTTAACTGTAGAGTCACTGCTGTTCAGTCCATGGAAATTGTGTACATTACTAACCAATCCTCACTCATTGTGACCTATGTGACAGGCAGCACTGTGGTTGATCTCATCCTCTTCCCAGTAAGAAGTCTAGGCAACAGAACAGGTTTTTTTTTTTTTTTTTTTTTTTTTTTTTGAGGAACCAGGGATTGCACTCAGGCCCTTGCACTTGCCAAGGAAGCGCTTATGCTAATGAGCCATCTCCCGAAACTCGAAACAGGTTTTTGAACCCAATTTTCCTAACTTTTTCAAATAAGTTTGAGTGTTCTTGAAGTGAAATGCTTTGTTTAGGTGACTAGTGCAGAATTCTATGTGCAGTTGCTGCAATGTGGAGGTTCGTGTCATTTCTGTGGTTTCTTCTGATCTTATGAGAAGTGATTACTTAGTCTTATTTCTTGGTCTTAGGTATTAAGACCTCCTACAGTTTATAACAGTTGCCCATTTTGCTTTGTATTTAAAGAATTTGCCTTTCTAACCTCATGAGTGTCTTGAGGACAAGGGGGTATGTGTCCTGCCCACTGGTTATAAAAGATGTCAGAGAGTCACCTTTGCTCAGAGAGTCTGTCAGCCACCATGATCCTTTCTCTTGTTCCTGACATTCCCTCTCAGAGTGTACCTCTTTTCCCTAACCTGGGTGATTTAGAGGACAGCAGAAGCTCAAGTTTGTTTTAGATGAACTTTCCTAAACTCTGGTTGGATGTGAGACCCTCTTAGTTGCTTTTGGAATCCCTAGGTATGTATTTAAGATGTACATTGACTTATTTGTGTCATTTCTCCTGTCAGGCAGAAGAATAGGTACCACAGTCCTTGCCTCATGGACAAAGCACTCAGGATCATCTAATTACTATGGGATTATGCCAGCCTTTGATGGGGTGTTTAATTCACCCTCATGGCAGTGTTCCTGCTGATGTATCTGAGGCAAAAAGGACTTGCCATGGTTGCACTAGTAGGAAGTTCTTGAGCAGAAATTTAAATTGATACTTGTTTACCTGGCATGATCTAACTAGTCATATTAGGTTCTCTACTAACACTCATTTAGTGTTTTTTTTTTTTTTTTTTTCATGCAGAAGATAATTTGCCAGGTAATGTCTGTAGAATTAATAAAATACTAAATAGGAAACTCTAAATCAATATCTGGAATCACACTGAGGTTATTCCTAATTTCATAGGAAGTTAAATCCTTAAGATAGGCAAGGCAGTTTGGGGAAAATTTTGAGAAAGTGAATTTTCCAATTTCAGTTTTGCCAAAGAATCACTCCCATTCCCTTTCAGAATATTCCACTGGTTTTAGGACACTTACTGATAAAGATTTTGAAACAGTATAACCAAGGAAGATACACTTGTTTTAAGTCAGTCTTCAGAATCTTGCTGAATTGCCCAGGTTGGCCTTGAACTTGCAGTCTTCCTGCCTCAGTCTCTAAAGTAGCAGGGAGTACAGGCAGATATCACCACGCTCAGCATAAATTTTTCCTGGGTTTTTTTGTATAAAATATATTTGTTCCATAGGCTTGTATTAAAAATATACTACATGCTCTGACCTGGCATTCACTCTTGGAAAGATGATTTTGTGATTAGCTAGCACATGGTATGGTAGGATCAGAAACAGCCCCTCTGCACCAGGCATGAGCATAGTCAAGATGGTACAGTGGAAAGTTCTTAAAAACGGCCCTTTTTGGCCCTGTTCTCCAAATTCATTGTGCTCCCATTTTCCTACTTGCCCAGTACAATTGGATATTTGGCATGAACTTATACATAAACCTTCATCTTGAATATTCATTGACCTTTTTTTTTTTTTGAACTGTGTTGTTTGTTATTCCCTGAAAGATTTTCTGATTAAGGTAAATTAGATAATAATCAAGAATTTAAAGAGTGTCACAATAAAAAGTTAAGATTCCCAAAAGAGGGATGTACTGAATTATTTCCGTATAATCTTTACATGCAGCATAAAGGCCCAGAACTGTGCCAGATGCTGAGGGCACAGAGGTAGGTTAGACTGGCTGTCCACCTTCAAAATTAGTCCTGCTGTGGAGGCCATTAGAGGTTGTATGTTTGTTGGGGAGAGGAGATAGAAGTTCCTTTAAGAAAGTTCCATCTATGGCAGCAGAACACCTGGTAGAATCTGCTACTACTCTGTCTGTCTACCTAGACAGAGCTTTGATCTCAGCCTAGAACCAGGCAGCTAATTTCATTCCCCTTAACTACCCCCTAGATGGCTCAAATGTTTTAGAGTTATAGGTAGTTTTACAACAGGGTACAGAGTTTGATAGGACATAAGTTGGCATACACTAATTACAAAAATAAACAGTGAGTTTTGTTTTACTGGCTTCTAAAGACTACACTATAGAAAGTTTTACATGGGGCTGGAGAGATGGCTCAGTGGTCTAAAGCACCTACTTAGAACAAGCTTAGCAACGCCAGGGACCGCGGTTCAATCCCCCAGCACCACATGCCAGCCAGCCTCGCCCCCTGGTGGGCTGAGCTGGCCACACACCTCTCTCTCTCTCTCTCTCTCTCTCTCTCTCTCTCTCTCTCTCTCATAAATAAAAAAATGAAAAAATAAAAAATTTAAAAAAAAAAAAGAAAGTTTTACAATTTCCTTTTCTTGGTCTACAGAAATGCAGGCTTTGAAACCAGAAAAACTAAAACCTGTGTTACATTAAATTAATAGTTTTTACTTGTTGATAGGATTTCAGGAAACATTTATTCTCCCTTCCCTCTCAAGAAATCTCTTGTCTATTTGATGATTTTGAGACATGTATGTTAAGTACACATAAGATGTCTTTTTCTTGGTGTCTATCAAGTAGTCAGTAACAGCGGGTTAGTAATGGGTCCAGATCAGCAAGTTCTAACCAGCAGCAATTTTCAGAGAGCATAATAAATATTGCCATTTAGTATTATTTAAATGTTGATTTTGATATTACTTCTAACATTTTGAGCATAATCAAGATTTCTTAAGACTTCTGAGGTCGTAAATAATGAGTATTCATTCTTGTTTCAGATCTAGTACCTCAGCTAGAAGCTCCAAGTTCTCTCACACCCAGCAGTGAACTGAGCAACCCAAGCCAAAGTGAGCTAACTAACATAGATATAGCTGCACTCTTCTCTGATGCATCTGCCAACAGTAGTAATTCAGCAAGTGGGCCAGATGAGGCACTGAATTCCGGAATCTTAACCATTGATGTTACTTCTGTGAGCTCCTCTCTGGGAAAGAACCTCCCTGCTAATAATAACTCCTTAGGGCCCATGGACCCCCTGGTCTTGGTAGCCCATAGTGATATTCCTCCAAGTCTGGATAGTCCTCTGGTTCTTGGGACAGCAGCCACAGTTCTTCAGCCAGGCAGCTTCAGTGTGGATGATGTACAGGCTGTGAGTCCAGGAACAGTGGGCTGTCTGGTGGCACTGCCTGTGAAGAACTTGAGTGAAGACTCGCCTGCTTTGACTTCCAGCAGTAGTTTAGCAGCACATAGCAACACGTCAGACTCTTCAGGCACTTCCCAAGAAACTTCCAGTGCCCCAGAACTTATGACTTCAATCAAGGTGGAGCGAGACTCACCTCCTCTCCCAGATGTGGTTGAGCATCAGGAAGGAAGCTTAGGGCCAGCCTCATCTGTGTTTTCCAGCCCCACAGAGAGGCATGGTCCCCAGAAGGACACAGAGCTCAGTGCAGGCACTGGAAACCTCTTTTTGGTATGAAGCACTCTATTCAGTCACCACAATATAGCTCACTTCTCTTATATTCAGTTTTGAGGATATTCTGGATCAATCCTTTCTATGCAGTTTCTTACTGGTTTGCAGAAGGATGGAACCCTGGACTACAAGTCTGAATCTGAATCCAACCTTGAATCTTAGAACCAACAGTTCTTGCGACCTTGAGCAAATCACTTAACCTATTTGAGCCTTAAATTCTCCATTATTTCTAAAATAAGAGGATTGGCCAGATTATTTCTAAGGTCCTTTTGACCTCTGTGACTGTGATAATGTGCTTATTTTATTGGAAAAACTTGGGGCATTTCATAATACTGAAATGTTTTGCCTTTGTGCTTTTCATATAGTTACAAGTCCTAGAAGAAAAGGAATTGCAGCATAAACTACTTGTAAAGGTTTTAATCAAAGCTAAAACCATTTCAGAACATTTTTTAAAATTATGATTGGGGAAAGGGAGTGGTTTATGAGCCTTCATTCTTGAAGGGTAAAGAAGGGTAACAAGAAAACTCCAGTTTTGAGGCTGAGTAGTTTTACTTTAATTTATATTAATTATTCATTTATTATAACTTAAAATAATTGAAAGATTCCTGTAACAGAGTCTGACTTTCCTCAGTGTACAATGGGAATGATCATCTGCAAATGTAATTTTTAATGTGTGACCTGAAAAATTTGATGGAGGCATTTATATTGTTCAAATTCTTACTTTACCACAGCTTAAATATGTTGTATCTTCTGAATTAGGATCAAGTGTGAGGACACTGCCATGGAGCCAACTTGCAGGTTTTTTTGAGTGTGAGAGGATAGTCTTTTTCCATTTGTCGTTGGCAGAGCCATGCTTGCTAGCATCCGCTTCAGTTGCCATAGTAGTGGCTACGCAACTGGTGACTGGGTAGGGACAGATGGGAGGTGGATGTAGGTCAGAGGCAAGTAAGGTTAGTCCGTTGGCACTTGGTGCCTTGGGAAACAGCCATGTTCTTGTACCTCACTGCATCTCCAGAGCCATAACTATGGGTGGAGGTGGAGGAGCCAGCAAGACCTCAGTCCTAACCCCTTGTTCATTTTCTTGCTAGCTGTGTGACGTTGGGCTCCCTCGCTTCTCTGAGTACAAATGGTGTGTGGTGAATGGGTTACAGGTATGCCACGAGCTGTAGAGAGTTATTCTTTCTGTAGTGATAAGTATTAAGCTGTTCTTCATATGAAGCATTAACAAATATACAACAGTTTACTATTTGTATACTGTTCATTTGGCTCCCTCAGTATACTTGCTGAATTCAGTAGCATATGTGCTGTTTTGGTCTGTAAGACTTTGGAGCCTAGTGCCTGCTGCCTGAGCAGCCTCTGCATTGAGCAGAGAAGGCAGCGCCACCCAAGACCTGCAGGATCCAGACAGTATAGAAAGTCTTTTGATACTGCTGTAGCAATATAATCCCAGGGATTCAAGGTAAAATGGGTAGTTGAGAAAACAAGGAGATAGGCAGTTCTTTTTGTAACAGTTTCTGTATAAAATACTTTAATGTTTTAGAATTTGGAGGACTAAACTTCTCCAGATAATGTTTACGTATTGTTCCAAATCTGCTTTTGTTTAGTTAGCACTGTAATTGGTGGTAGGTAGCATTTGGTTCTCTGTGTGCCTTTGTTGGATTGCTGAATTCTGAAGTGTTCTAGAAGTAGGCTTAGGACATTTCTGTAGCTCCCTTGCTACCCTTCTTTCACTCTTTAGATCAAGTGACTGACACACTTTTCTTTGGTCCCAGGAAAGTGGGGGCTCAGCAAGAACTGATTACCGAGCCATTCAACTAGCCAAGGAAAAAAAGCAAAAAGGAACTGGGAACGATGCAGGTGAGGCCGAGTATACTGCAGTGCTGGTGAACAAGGGACTGAGTGCTCTTGTATGATAGCCACAGGCAGAGAAAGCACACAGAACAGAGGCTTCTGTGTTCTTTATTTTATTTTTATGTTCAGAATGCCCTTTGATCAACCCCTTAGTTTTATAGGAGCTTAAGAAAAAGTAGTTCTAAAATTCCCTGCATAAATAAACATGCTTTATTTACCTAAAAGATTTAGTAGAAATAAGGGGATCAGACAGAGTTGTCAGTTGCACAGGAAGCTTCTGTGGTAAATGAGCATAGCAGGTAAGATATCAGAAAACATCTGGTGGCTTGATGTTAAATTATTGCTAGGCCTGACTTTCGTGTAGTGAAGACCCTAGGGATAGGGCTGCCACTGTCTCTGAGGGCAGCACTATATGGAACTAACTCTGGCCTGCACTGTTGTGGCCTCCAGTTTAGAGTTATATTGAAATCTAATTATCAGTAGCTTATTTGAATTTTTAAGATATATTGCATGGGGGGCCGGGGAGATGGCTCAGTGGAATAAGCGCTTCCCTGGCAAGCGCAAGGGCCTGAGTTCAATCCCTGGTTCCGCCAAAAAAAAAAAAAAGTAAAAAAGATATACTGCGTGGATCAACTATACCTGGCAGTTTATGGCCTTGTATGTCTGTTCCTCCTGAAAATGAAATAGTAGGATGTGATACTTAACGGAAACTGGTAAATCCTTATATTAACAGGTTTTTCAGTATGTTATTTTATTTTTTTTTTTATATTTGTGTGTGTGTGTGTGTGTGGCCAGCTCAGCCCACCAGGGGGCGGGGCTGGCTGGCATGTGGTGCTAGGGGATTGAACCGCAGTCCCTGTGCTTTGCTAACCTTGTTCTAAGTAGGTGCTTTAGACCACTGAGCCATCTCACCAGCCCCAGTATGTTATTTTATACAATGTTCTTTGATATTTTACTTATTTAAAATTTATGTTTAAATAGGTATGTAGATTCAGCAATACAATTTTATCTCTAATAGTCTTACTCCTCTAGTCTTAATAATCCAGCTTCTTATTTTAAATAACCTTTTTTTTTTTTTGGTGGAACTGGGGAACTCAGGCCCTTGCGCTTGCCAGGCAAGTGCTTATTCTACTGAGCCATCTCCCCGGCCCCTAACCCTGTTTTATTTTAAGCAGTTTTTAAAAAACAAATAATCCCCTATAGTGAATGTTGTATGTGTCAGTGTTGTGACTTAGCAAGGGATACCTCAACAGTTCACAAAGAACTGATAGAAATTTCAAATACTATATAGCACAGCAAGTGTGGTAGTGTAAGTTTATAAAAAGAATTCACTGCATATTAGGCACAATCCACTAAAGAAAGCAAATGTTTATATTGAATGTAGGATAACCATTAACCATCTTCCCCAAAATCATAAATTTAGTTTGTAAACTGAGGTACCACTATCCCTGTTGCATTCATTGCAATGCATGGGAGTAATATCTGTAGAGATGGTTTGACTTTTTAAGTTACTGTTTATATGTTAGCATTACCTTTTAAAGAGAAGGACACTTAAAATCTTAGCATATATTGTTTCATTTAAAAAAAAACAGTATTTCATTAATAATCTAAGTCTAGTAAGTGTACATGTTTTTACTCAAGTGTTTTAAATATATAGTGCCTATTTGTATCAGAATCCAGGGGAGGGTCTTATGTTGCTTTTGGTTGATATATTTCTAAATCTGTTTTAAAGCTTGAAGTTACCCATCCATCTCACGTGTTTGTTAAAGCAGCTGTATTGTTTGGTGGTCCAGTTTGCTGGTGTGACTTGATCATTGCATCACAGGGGTATAGATTAGCAGGTTGCTCTATTTTTTTTGTTTTCTATAATTAGTAATACTTTAGGTTTGATGTGATTGGTTTTGGCAGACAAAGGAGGGGTAGGAAAAATTCTTTCCTAAGTAGTACTAGGCTAGTGGTGACAAACCTATACCACACATGTGGCAGTGGGCTGTATCACTGAAAATTCTAAATGGTTCATTATTACTGTATTAGGCTTTTCTTAGAAGTCCCTGGCTCTAATGTCCTGCCACTGATGACCTGCAACTAGCTCCGTTAATTCCTTGGGGATAGAGAGATGTTACTATAATTCAGTTGTCATTCTTTTGTTGTTATTGTTGTTGTCATTGCTGCAGAACTCTGTAAAAGTCAACATTTCAGTTGTTTTTGAAAAAATCAGGAGTTGCAGTCTTTTTCCTGATTGGCTTTCAGATAAGACTTGGTTTCTTTGCATCTCCAATAGTGATCAAAGAATTTTTAATGTACTCATCAATTTAAGTATAAACTTCTAAATAAAATAGAAACATGACTCCTGCCAGGAATCTGCTCTTTATATGAAAATACAAATATACCCTGTAAGGGTGAAGGCTTATGTTCTGCTACCTATCTTTCCTCCCTTAAAAGCCCTCTTGAAATAACTGTGCATACTCAGGAGAGGAAAAATTTCATATAAAGGCCACAACCTCTTTTCTAATGCCTTGTGGCTGGTTTTTCCTCTGACATTTTATTTGCTGTAATTTCACATTTACAGAAAACTTACTGCTGTGAGTGGTGATGTTCTGTATATATCACTGTACTTTTGTGTCTCCATCTATGACGCTCATTGTCCAGCCTCCCCTCTTGTAAGATTCTTCCACAGTCCTGCTATATCTGTCGGAAAGTTTCAGTGATATGAGCTGATAATAGACTTGATTTCTGACCAGGCACAGTGCAGTCCTCTACTGTGTCCCAGGCTGTTTGGGCTCCCATATGTGTGGTGTTCTTAGATCTCTATCTTCTGCAGCTCCTAGTAGAGCCTTAACCCTTCTTTGTCTGTCATAATGCTTTTGAAGGAGACAGGTCCTTGTAGGTCTATTTTCATGATTAGACTGGGTCTTCAGGTCTTTTGGAGTTAGAGGTGAGGGACCCTCTCTACTGTGTCACCCTTAAGTACAGTGATCAATGCTAAGATTGATCACTGACCTTTAAGGTGGTCCCTGCCAGCTTTCTGCACTGTAAATGTCTCTTTTTAATTCCTTGTAATTAGTAAATTATCTTGAAGTAGATACTTTGAAATTATTTGCCAAGTTCAGGTGCCCTAAACATACCTTTAGATTCAATAATTCCCTAAAACATGTAAAACTCACGAAAAGCTGTTATTTAAACCATTGTGGTTTGTTGCAGTGAAAGGTTAATTGCCAGGCCAACAAAAGCTGTAGGATAGAATTCACAAGAATTTTGAGTTTGAAACTTTCTGTTGCCTTCCTGAGGCAGTATAAATTCTTCCCAGCATATGACAACACACAGTATTGCCAACTGGGATAGTCACTCAGGGCTTGGTATCCAAATTTGTTATTGGGACTCTCTTATGTAATTGATTTATCTGAGTCTCCAGCCCCTCTAGAGGTTAAGCTGTCACTGTGTATTCCAGTGATTCTACTGTGTGTCACATGATCAGTGAAAAGCTGTCCAGACTGGCTCAGATCCCCCAGGGAAACAAGGACACACACCAGGCAGGACATTCCAAGGGCCTACAGATCACCTCCAGGAGCCAGGATAAGATTACTAATTTATCACGCCCTGCAAATTCCGTTTTTCTTTAATCTTTGCAGTGATTTAACATTTTGTGGCACATATTGTCCATGGCTTTGTTACTGTGTTGTCTATGGTGATTTTCTGTTCCCTTCATTCTTAGGTGTTTATCAGCATTCTTTTGTAAGGAAGAATCTTATCTCCCATTTATCTCTTCCATTAATATCAATATGAACATAAAGGCATTTGTATTCTTTATATTATGATTAGTGTTGCATTATAAGCCACACATGGTAGGTACATACCTGTAATTTCAGGATTCTCAGAGGGTGAGGCAGGAAGCTTGCAAGTTCAAATCTAGCCTGGGCAACTTAGTAACAAAGCAACACCCTGTTTCTAAAACATAACAGAGGTGGCTGGGTATGGAAGCATATGCCTATAATCTCAGCACTCAGGATGCTGATGCAGGAGGATCAATGTGCACTCCAAGGCAGCCTGGGCTATATAGAATTTAAACTATATAAGGAGACCCTAAGCTGCATAAGGAGACCCTGTCTCCACAAATAAAGCTGGACATATAGCTCAGTTCAATCTCAGTAATACCAAAATAAATAAATAAATTTAAGAATTGGCTTTTGAACAACATTAGCATTGATTTTGTTGCTCTAAGTATTGTAGCTTTGATCATTCAGAGCTGCAGTTAGATTCTTTTGCCTTTCAACATACCCTGTCCTGGCTTTTTTAAGCACTTCCTTACTTTCTGACATTCTGAGACTCATATCCCTTTTGTAGTTCTGGAGTTTGTAACTTTTCTAGAGCCTTGGTTCTTTCTTCTTTTGGAGCACAGTACTTACATCCAAATGTGAATGCAGGATGTGCTTATTTTGCAACTGGGATATCTTGGTCTAGGCTTTCTCAGTGGCCAGTGTTGGGAAATATACTTATGTATATTAATCCACACTAGCTATGTTTTCAAGTCAGAATGTTTACAATTTTAGAAAGGTCATATGCTATGTGTAGCACCTCTAATTACTCTATTCGTATGATTTTTTTTGTTGTTGTTTTTTTTTTTGTTGGAACCAGGAATTGAACTCAGGCCCTTACACTTGCCAGGCAAGCACTTATTCTGCTGAGCTATCTCCCTAGCCCTATTCGTAAAAAGCAGAATCACAGCCTGTATGGAAATATGTAAGGAAATTAAAATTAGGATAATCCAGAATCAAATCAGAAAGTAAGAGTTAATGTTATGAGAAATATGGAATTGAAAGAAACAGAATTTGGTCTATGAAAAGTTCCCCTTTTTTGGGTTTCTGTTGATGGTATATACCACAAAACTGTAAGATTCATGAGTATTTACATAAATGTATATTTGAAAATGACTAGCAAACAATATAAAGTGAAAACTGATAGGAGAATTGAGTAAATTTAGGAAAATTGGCTGAATTAAAAACCTAATG